TAAAAGGATGGGTGGTGGCCAGGGGTTGGGAGACGGGAGGGATGGAAAGGTGACGCACAGGAATTTTTAAGGCAGTGAAACTATATGGCATGAAACTGTAATGGTGAACACAAGTGATCACATATTTACCAAAACCCACAGAATGTACAACACAGAAAGTAATATAAACTGTCATGACTTTAGTTAATAATAATGTGTCACTATTGGCTCATCTGCTGTAATTTATGTACCACACGAAAGCAAGATGTTAAGGGGAACATAAAGGGGAAATAAAATAAGGGAATTCTTGTGTTTGTCAGGGAGGGAAGGAGGTATATGGGAACAGAATTAGAATTCTCTGTAGTTTCTGCTCAAGTTTTTCTAAATCTAAACAAAAAATAAACTAATTATTTGGAAAACTAAATCAAAATTTGTTCCTATTTAAAACCACAATGATCTAAATGTCAGATTTAAAAGACAGTTGAAATCTTTTCCCTTGGTTTCTATTTGTCACAACAATTTAAGATTTTTTTTAAAGGCTTGATAAAATCTAGGAAAAAAACATTTTTTGTTACATACCCTGTCCCTTGTTAGCATCTGAGCTCTGTTTTTGTGCACAATTTTGATAATCCCTGGAGGCTGAACCCACGCTTCACCGTCCACCTGCACTGGGACTCCCTCATCACCAAATATAGTGATTTTTACTGTACGGCACTGAAATAAAACAAGTTATTTTAGAGTAGAGATCATCCCGAGAAACCAACACTTGATCTTGCATTCAAACTTGAAAGGAAAGGACTGTTAGGTTTTTCTCCTTTCGATGACATGGTAACAACCAACTCAACAAGAAACTCCATCATTTTATGGATGACTATACAGTGTAGGAGTCATTTGGAATGGCATCCTCAGTGGCCCCAAGTAGTGAAGTCGGGTTTGATTAGAGAAACAAACCTGGGCTATTCGGTGGTGCTGCAGTTTAATGACCCTTGACACTGCCATTTGCATGCTATCAAATATTGCAACGACTTCTAGGATCTTGTCATCAAATGATGGTGCGGCAAATATCTGAAAGAAAAAAAAACAACATTACAATTCCACTGAAGAAGCTCAGGTTTAAGTGCAGTGGCACATCAAGCAATGTAAACTATGCAGCACACGTATTTTTAAAAACTTATAAAAATAGTAAGCAGAAAAGTAAGTAAATAGTAGTAGGAAATGATAATCCAAGGACAAGGAAAAGTCACTAAAGAGAGCTTAGAAGCAATACAATAAAAAAAAGTGTCAAAACCCACATGGATAAAATACTTCATGCCCCTCTTAGAAAGCACTCTTAGGACCAGTGAACTATTGTTATTTCCAAATAATTCATCTTGGTATATGTAAGTTGTATTAAATATCTGTTCATGCATAACTCAGATGTCTTGATAAAATGATGCATGTAGTTTCAGGAATCAAAAGGTGATACTGATTTCATAAAGTTAAAGTTAGTGAACATGTAATTTATGATCCGGTTTGCTTGGCATATTCTAAGGGAAATCTTTTAAGGTGTGACAAGCAATGTGTGTATGTGATTTATACTTTACTACAAAAACATTTAGGGCATTTGCGAATACGAAAAGAAACTCAAGAGGATGAAAATCCTGTAGGCTTCCTTTGCCTTGATATTAAATGCATTTTTACATAATTAATTTCACCTAAAAATTTAAATTTCATCTGCATCACTTTGTTTCTTTTACTCCTTCTTACACTATATCATAAATAATTGTTCCTCTGAAAAAATACTCGGTATAAAATAGTATCCTAATTAAAACTTTCACTGAAAACATCAGGACATAAATTTGCAAACTTGTCGTTTTGTTATCAGACTACCTGGTTTTAAGCCCTGCCTCTGATACTAACTGGGTGAACTCTGTGTCAATTTCTTCACTAATAAAATTTAGATAAAAATTGTGGGTATTAAATTATGAATGTAAGCTCTCAGAACATTGACTACCCAGCAGGTGTTCAAGGAGCATTAGCTTTGTCTTAATCTCACTGATTTATTCTCCTTAAAATATTTGAGTAGTGACAGGCTGACAAATAATTGGTTGCTAATTTAAATTTTTATACTCCAATAGGATTGGAATATATTCATATCATGAAAATTACAAATACTTTCTAATTTATTTTATGCTTTAATCCCTGCATGCTCATTTAAGAGCCCTTAGAAAACAGGTCAGTGGGAACCATTGCATCATAAGCTTCAAATCAAAGGGTCTATCATTCAATATATGTAACTCTTTAGAGATCATGGTAAATTTCTCATTTTTATTATTATATATATTTTAATAATTGTGCCTTCTCTTTTATTCTATTACCTTTAAAGCAACTGCATTTGTTAGGTTGTGTTTTTTTTTCTGTTTTAATACAGGAAAATATAAAAAGAAAACAAAAAGAGCTCTAAATCTCAGTGGCTAAATGAGCCCTTTTGTCACTTCTGAAAATTAAAGAAACAATAATAAGATACACATAAATTTAGAAAATTGAAAGTACAGAAAGGTATTTTGGTAAAACAGAATAATATCCCTCTCTCTGCTCAGCAAAATGTCTGTGTTCTAATCCCTGGAACCTGTGAGAGTTACCTTACATGGCAAAGGGATTTTGCAGATGTGTTAATTAGGGGCCTTGAGACGGGGAGATTATCCTGGATGATCCGGATGGGCCCAATGTAATCACAAAGGTCATTAAAAGTGGAAGATCAAGGCAGGAGAAGAGAGCAATGCACTGTGACAAGGACTCAACCGCCTTTGCTGGCTGTGAGGATGAAGGAAAGGACCACAAGCCAAGGAAAATAGGCAGCTTCTAGGAAAAGCAAGGGAATACTCACATCATCTTCTTTAGTTCCACCCCAAAAGTTAGTGCCTCCAGCATAGCTGGGAATGTTCAACACAGCTATTCCTTGCAGACTGGGGAGAGGAATATACTGCCCATCACACTGTAAGGTCAAAAGCTTAGAGGTCAGATAAAAAGAGCAAAACCACTGGTTTGGAAGACACTACAGTACCAAAGATAAAGGATGATGGAGGAAAGTGTGTTGGTGATGTTGGCTCTCCTGTAAACATATTCCCACACATTACCTTTATGTTATTTTTTAAATTGAAAAAATTTTAAAGACTAAATAATTATAGCAGAAATTGTTACAGAATAACAAAATTGAAAAAAAAAAGTTTTACAAAACAATCTAAGTGTCCTTTGATGGATGAATGGATTTAAAAAAGTGGTAGATATATACAATGGAATATTATTCAAACACAAAAAGGGAAATCTTGCCATTTGTGATGACAATGACTTGAGGACATCATGCTAAGTGAAATAAGTTAGACAGAAAAAGACAAATACTGCATGGTCTCATTTATATGTGGAATCTAAAAACAAACAAGCAAACAAAGAAACAAAGCCAAATGGCTGAAACTATCTTCAACCCTTAGAACAAATGAGAATCCAGTTTGAACCCATTTTTCAATCATTGTAAATAAAATAAGAACACTTTATACTTGATTTACCCACCATGAGTGTTTTTTACAATTCCTTTCCTTCCTTTTTCATGAAAATATATTCAAAGGTCCACACAGTATCTAGGTAGTGTGGTACAGTGGGAAAACAGTAGGCCTGTTTTGAATTCTGTCCCTTAGTATTAAGTTTTTGGAGCTTCATTTTGCTCATCTGTGAAATGGGCCAATAATCCGCAGCCCACAGTGTGGCCAGTAAAGCAAGGTACAGGAAAGCACCTAAAACACGTAGTAGGAAGTCAGTAAACGTCTCTCCTCTATCACAAATACAAATTAATGTTTTATGGTGAAAAAGCATTGGAGTTGAAATTTTGACTTCTCCAGTTATCAACTGTTTGATCTTGGGCAAGTGACTTCATGCCTCTGAAATAATTAATAAAAGACTTGCCTCCTAAAAAATGATAGTCACTACCTCATAAAGTTTAAGAGTCAAAGGCAATATGTAGAAAACATTCAGGGAACTTCAATTATTGTAACCCCATTTAAAATACAGCTATAATTTTTACTGCATTAATGAATTAAACAAAGACAAAAATTACTATTATATAATAAACCAAATTAGTATCAAGCTTTAGAATGTAACAGTATAAACAAATTATGGAAACACTGTTACGAGATTACAGAAATATCTGAAATTACAAGAAATGTGAATTAAACAACTATTTGTTCTTTATCATGTATTTCATTATAGATTACAGGTGAATATTGTTTTTTAAAAGGTGTTTTCTTCTTCATGTATCTTAGTATTTAAAGGACTCAAACCAGAATTTGATCATTATTTCAATTAAAAAATAGAACAAGCTGCTTGGTGCATGTAAATCAGGTGTATTTAGACAAAAAAGCCATTCTTAAGGAAAAACTTGAATCTTAATGACATGACATTTTTCATTCATAGGTCAAAGATGTTTCTACTCTAAAACTACCAAAATTTGATGTTACGATGTCACTCTACATTTCTGGCATTTCCATGATTACAGAGAGGATTATAATTCTCACTCACAAGTTCTGAAATTTGGGTCTATATCAGATTCAGTTTATATGACTTGAGAAACAGACTTTGTATTTATAGCGTTCTTTTCAGTTTAAACTGCGATTTCTTGTAAATCAGCTCAATGGATTATGATTTTGCACAAAAGCATTATTGTATCTATTTTGCAGATGGAGAAACTGAAGTCAAAGTCTTTTTCTGTACAAATTCAAAGTCAAAACATGAACTCAGATTCACTTTCTTCTATACAACAGGGAAAGGAAAACTTTCCTGAACAAAAAGTTAAAAGAGTTTTTTTGCCAAGCCCTGGCAATAGGTGAGAGGGATCTCCCTGGGAAGAGATTCCCAAGTCTTGGATCTCTCTTCTCCATCTTTATCCCAAGTGATCGAGCATCATGGAAATGAATTTTTAGACAACGGACTTTCTGTGGTCCTCAGGAATAGCAGCTGTTTTGTTTATTTTTAACTACGGCAAAGAACTCTCTAATTTTTCTACTTTACCTTTTATGTATAGTAACATGTTTTCATTTATCTTGGGTTACCAATTCTATTTTCCTTTAGTCATTTAATATAAAACTTCTGTATCAAGAGTTCTTAACCTGAGGTTCAGAAACCAGAGGTCCACAGATAGATTCAGGGGTCTGCTAACTTGAATGGTAAAAACGCATCTCTTAGGGTTAGCAACTGCTGAAATCTTGCATTGCACTCAATTATAAATGCTGATAACAAACCACACATTAGCGATACTCAGTTCATCACTGACAGAAACAGATTTTTTTTGGTATTCTATTACTGATGTTTCAGATATCTTGTAATATCATTTATGTTCCTCATTGCTTCAAAAGTATGGTACTTATTATATAAGCCATTAGATTTTTGTCATTTGATGTGGCAATGAAGAAACACATATGTTTCTTCATACTCTATGCTTCATGCTCTATATTCATACTTTTAAAGTGTTACTCTATAACACTTTAAAAATATTTCGATAATTTTTTTCAATATTTTCTTTTGTAAGGCTATCTATTTTATATAATGCATTTAAAAACAATATTCTGAGAGGGGGTTCATGGTTTCACTAGCATGTCAAAGGGGTCCACAGCTCAAAAGGTATTAAAAACCTCTGCTAAATGGAGATTACAAAGCAGCTGTCTAAGATATTGTTCAGAATTTGGACCACCAATAGAAAAGGACAGAAATAGTATTTCTGAAATGCTGAAAGCTCTTCCGGAAACAAAGGCAACCCAGTCAATCTATTCCAGATAGTCCTCTTAAATCTGAAAGATGGCCAGCTATGGGTCTTGATTACAGCACTTAACAAATTATGGTAAAATCATCATTTACCTATCTTGCTTCCCTCTCAAGTCAGGGTCAGGAACTGTGCAAGATAACAAAGTTGAAAACCACTTCCTACCTGTCCTTAAAGAGTGTGGCTGAGTAGGGTATAGGGATAAGAGAATGAACAACTATGTACGGAACCCAGTTGCCTGAGGGATGGGGCTGCAAAGGATAGCATTTACTAAGTATGAACCTTCCTGATTTTATACCTTTTCAGGCAGTAACATCTATCTTAATTTTGCAAGCAATGATAAATCAGACCAGCTGATCATGTAGTTGTAAAGGACATTTAGTTGATAATGAATGAGTCAGGCACCTCTTTAGTTCACATTCCAGTATTAAGATAACACTTAAAATAGAAACGCTCTGTTTAATTCATTGAGCTGTTGACTTAAGATTTGTACACGTTTCTGTATGAAGTGTATAACTCAATTTAAAGTATCTGGTTATTAAAAGAGACAAGATAGGAAAGACATGCCCATTAGCATAAACAGTGAGCCCTGAATCAAGGATGAAAGAAAATAAAATTCAAAGAGATTAGTAGGGGGAGGGTATAGCTCAGTGGTAGAGCACATGCTTAATAAGCATGAGGTCCTAGGTTCAATCTCCAGTAATTCCATTAAAATAAATTAATAAACCTAATCACCCCCCCAAAAAAAACAAACAAAAAAAGAAAAAAACAAAGAAATTAGTAGATTTTTCAGAGCAATGTCCCCAATTTTCTTTTTCCTATTATCGGAGGAGATTAAATAACTTTTGCTGTCTTTAATTTTCTATATAAATTAGTAAAAAAAAACTAAAAATTTAAATGTTCAAAATCTCTTTTTATTTTACTAACTTGTAAGAAATAATTAGAACAAAAATATATTTAAATTAAAAGGTTCTATTTACTATGAATGATATCTTCAGGGATTTGTGAAATGTCAGGCATTATAGAACTGGGCCAGAATTTGGAAGCTTAAATGGAAAAATCTGTTAAAAATGCTATCCTATATATGTACCCCCAAGGCCCCCCATTTTCAGGATCTGATGACAATGATAATTAAGTGTGTCACTCACATCCAGTGTCTACACCTCCTCTGGTATAGAGTTGAAATCCACTTCCATTTTAAACCATAGGGTTTAAACACTATTCTAGATAAATTGAAGCTAAATCAGCTCCACAAACACATCTTTTGTTCCTAACAAGTCAGAGAATCTGAAATGTCTTTACTGCAAGACAAACTCACCTCAAGTTGAACCCTCTGTTCTAAATTCTTGTATGACCTCTGTAATAACTCCCGGGTTCCAAGGACTCCATACCACATCAAGTTTTTAGTTCGGCTCCTGAAAACAAACGTCGGCAGAGAATTTCAGGAACTCTTATTTATTTACTCTTTAAAGGTAGAGTGAGCAAAAGAGATAACAAATGAAATTAAAGTTAAGACTGCTTTCATGTAATCACATTATTACTATTACCAAAATTACCTGCATTTTTCAGGGTGCTCCTCTCTCTTATTATTAAATTCTAATGAAATTTTCGCATCTAATCCAATCCCAAAGTAATTGTTCATGACACATTTTTCTGAATATCCATCTCTATGATAATAAGAGAAAGTACATGAAAGTCAATTTCAGGTTCAGGAACAGATCATGCAAACCACCGTATTTCAAATGAGTCAATGTTCTCGTCATTATCAACTTTTGAAATTTTCTGATCCTTTTTGTTTGTGAAACCATATTTATTGCAGTGCATTTAAAATGTTGCTATTTGTATAAAACAGAAACAAGAAAAGCCAAAAACAAAATATTTGCAAAAGTATTTCTTACACTGAATCAGGATCTGGGTCAATAAATGGCGTTGCACCAAAAGGATCAATATTTGCTAGTAACATTTTGTTAATAATAGAACTCCCAGCAATTGAGGCAGCTAGTCCTGCTCTTAAACCTGGCCGGAAAAAAAAATACAGGATCACATGTTAGGAGGAAAACAGAAAGAGCCAGTCCATTGTTTTTAGAACTAATCTGAAACACCTTGCTCGCAAAGCATGGTTTTCAGTTGAGTCTGTTCTTCTCATTAATCAAGACTAACAACTATGACATTGGTAAACACAAGGTTTTTGATGCTTCTTGGAATCTATACATTGTCATAAAAAAATGAAGCAGGTGAGGACCTTAATAGGAGTCTCTTTGAGACAGTTTCTCATTTCCCATCAATGATTCTATACTTCAACAAGTAAATATTACTTCTTTCGTATGAGCAAGTAAGATAGCAAGTCTGTAAGGAATTTACAACAAAGGCTGAATTACCCAAGATGTCATGAAATTATCACTTCCGTATTCTCAAAGCAAAGATAGTAATACTCAAGTGAAAATGCTGACATACTAAGATGAAAACTCGGCGCTAGTGTCAAGAGTAAGTAATCGAATATTAAACACAAGTATTTGTAAATTTTAGAAGAATATAGTATTGAACATAAAAAAATGAAGCATTTACCTTACCTCTATATATGCAAACCTTCTGATTTATTTCAACAAGTAGTTAGCTTTCCACTAACTATGGTATTCACAGCTAAAGAATTTTATGATCTACCAAACCATATATTAAAGCTAGAAGCACTAAAGTCTGGACACGACAAAGGAACAGGGGCCTAAGAGAGCCAATAAATGGAAAGGAAAGAATAGTGAAGAAAAGTATGTCATGCAGTTGAGAAACACCAGGAAATTAGGGAAAAAATAGTTTCTTTTGCAAACATTCCTTTCCTCAACAATGTGCTCCTCTTAGAAGATGGTCATTATTTCAGTGACAAAGTTTAGCTGATTATCAAATGATCAAGATGAAGTTTATTCTGTCATTTAATTTCATAGTTTTGAATATGCAATGGTATACTTTGTTATGCCAGTTCCCTTTATGTCTAAATAAGTAAATAAATGAATAAAACAACCATTCTGGTGAGAGAAAAGAACAGTGTGAAGAGGTGAAGGGTCATATTCCAGCTGCCCCACAGAAAAGTATAACATTTTCTAATTCTAAGGTTAGCCATATTTACAGCTTCAGCCCAGAAAATTTCATCCTGGGGTCCCAGACTTGAAGAGAAATATGACTTCTAGACATGGAAGTCTTTCTAGAATCAAACATGTTCTGGATTTATCTTTTCTATTTTAATATTTTCATCGAGATATAATTCACATGCCATAAAATTCACCCTTTGAAAGTGTATAAATTCAGTTGTTTGTAGTCTATAAACAAAGTTGTGCAATGATCACTACCATCTAATTGAGACCTTTTTATTACCCCTGAAAAGAAACCTCATACCCATTAGCAGTCATTTTCCATTCCCCCATTCCCTCACCCCAAGACCCCGGAAGCCACTAAACTACTTTCCTTCTCTATGTAATTGACTATTCTGGACTTTTCATCTAAGTGGAATTATATAATATGTGCCTTTTTGTGTTGAGCTTCTTTCACTTATCATAATGTTTCCAAGGATAATCATGCTGTATGTAGCATATATCAATGCTTCATCTTTTTAAATGGCTGAGTAATATTCCATTATATGGATATACCACATTTTGTTTTTCCACTCATCAATTCATGAATATTTTGGTTGTTTTCACTTTTGGGCTATTATAAACAATGTTGCTATAAACAGTCATGTACTAGTTTTTATGTAGACATATATTTTCAGTTCTCATGGGTATATATGTAGTAGAATTCCTGAGTTATATGTTAACTCTGAGCTTAACTCTTTGAGGAACTGCCAAACTGTTTCAAAAATGACTGTATCACTTTACATTTGAAACAGCAGTGTACAAAATACAAAAGTACAAAAGTTACAATTTCTCCATGTCCCTGTCAGTATATGTTATTATCTGTCTTTTTTGATAGCCATCCCAGTAGTCTAACGTGGTCTCTCATTGTGTTTTTGATTCGCATTTCCCTAATGACTAATGATGTTGGGCATCTCTTCAGGTGCTTATTGGCCATTTGTATATCTTTTTGGAAAAATGTCTACTCAGATCCTTTGCCCATTTTTAAAATGGGATATTTATCTTTTTACTGTTGATTATAAGATTTATTTATATATCCTGGATACTAGTCCCTTATCAGATATATTATTTGCAACTATTTCTCCCATCCTGTGGGTTGTCATCTCATTTTCTTAATAATGCCCTTTGAATCACAAAAATCTTTAATTTTAATGAAGTTCAATTTACCTTTATTTTTTTCCTTTTGTTGTTTGTGTTTTTGGAGTCAGTCTAAGAAACCATTGCTTAATCCAAGGTTATAAACATTTGCAACTATGTTGGCTTTTTATAGTTTTATATTTTTAGCTCTCACATTTCAGTCTTGTATCCGTGATCAGTTAATTATTATATATGGTGTGAGGTAGGGGGTCCATCATAGTTCTTTGCATGTGACTATCTAGGTGTCCCAGTACTATGGATTGAAAAGACTATTCTTTCCTCATTGAATAATTGCCTTAGCACATTTGTTGAAAATCAATTGACCATAAATGTAGGGGTTTATTTCTAGACTCTGAATTCTATTCACTGATCTTATGATTTTTTATTTTAACCAACATTTCCACATATTTGTGCACTTCCCAAATTTCCTTGTTATTGATTTCATTCCACTGTGGTCAGAGATCATATTCTGCATGATTTCAATCCTTTTAAATTTATTGAGAATTGTTTTATGGCTTAATGTATGGTCTATCCTGGAGAATGTTGCATTGCACTTGAGAAGAATGTATATTCTGCCCTTGTTAGGTGAAGTGTTCTGTAGACATCTATTCGGTATACTTGTTTTATGTGTTTTTCAAGTCTTCTATTTCCTTATTGATCTCTGTCTAGTTGTTCTATCCACTACTGAAAGTGGGATAATGAAGCCTCCAACTATTATTACTGAATTGTGATTCACCTTTAAAAAGAACTTGTAGGAGAGACTGATTTCCCAGGTGTATTTTGGATTCCAGTCTACTCTGCAATGAATCTGGAAAGTTTTCACTTAGCCAGACAACTGGCACTGCAGGAGACCTCTGAGACATCTACATTTACCGCCCTCCCCTTCCACGTAAGTTCTTTGTTTTCCACTAATACTATCCTAATCCCAAACCCTTATCAGGGCTGAATAGATGCCTCCAATGGTCCAAAATCAAGCAATGTTACCAGTCTAAAAATAACTACAGAGACTTGTGGTGTAAAACTAAGAGGAAGGCTGTGTTGATCTTGTAAAGGTAGTAGAATATAGGATCAAACTTACCTTGAGTACTTAAATGCAGATTCCTAGGATCTACTCTGGAACTACCCAACCAAAATTTCTTAGGGAAGGGCCCAGGAACCTGTATTTTAATACTTCCTAGGTAATTCTTTTATATACCAAAGTCTAAGGATCTGCATTCTGATTGATAAGAGTACCAACAACATTTTTTAAAGAAATATTTGTCTTTGAGAACATATTTCTATAGTTCATGAAAATGAGTACTTATACATTTTCACAGAAATACTTTGAAATACACCATGTTTCCGAATCTGTACTACCTGGGCAGATTATTCTGGTATTGAGCACAGGGAGGTTTTCTTTGCTGGCTGCCACAGCTGGACCAGGGCCAGAGTCAGTTTGGGAACGTCCTGCCCGGCCATCTGGAGATCGAGGTGCAGTTTTAACTGCTGGCAAAAAGTCCAGGGTAAAGAGAGGCATTGATAAAGTTATAAAAATAAGCAAGTCCCTATACACTTAGGACATAAAATAATTTCCTACATGTTTAAATTAATCAGCAGAACTGAAAATATTACATTGTGTTTACCTATTGGTTTATCACTTTTTTTCCATTTTCTTGGGATTTACTATATGGAAGGAATCTGCCACAAGTAGATGTCTTGATCTCTCATTTCAAATAGATCAATAGCAAATAGATGCCTATCATAATGGAAGGTCAGTAATACTCATCCTTTGAATGTAAGCAATCCATATTTACAGAAAAAGGAATTCTGAAGCCTGACAATTTTTGTAAATGGAACATATGTGTTGTAATGTACACTATCAAAGCAATCTTTTTCTCATAAATGTTGGGTGAATGATCAAATTTAATTCCCAGAGCTAATAGTGAAATACTAGTATTTTCTTCTATACATAGTATGAAAAATATAATTTTTCGAATGAAACCAATATTCTTTTTCTGTACTTCTCAACTAATTATTCACTCCAGACAATCATTTGTCCAAAACGGTTCTATGATAGTCTTATAAAAGCTCAACACATTTAAAAATTATTCCAAAACAGAATTACTCTCAAAGTAAACAACAAAGAGAGGGATTTAGTTCTATCTAAATGGAGGCAATTTAATGGAGAGCAAATAGTATCTTTAACTAATTTAGGAGTAGTTGGCAGGTGTTTAAAAAAACAGTAATCCTCAAATTCAATTTAAAAATACTCCAAAACTTAATTATCTTTATGCTCCCTAAGACTAATTACAAACAAACTATATTAATCTCACCCTCTCATCTTTCTGTTAAAAAACAGTCCAGTTGCATTAAAGAAAAGTACCAGAACAGCCACTTTTTTTTTGACAGACGGGAGGCCTGGAGCTAATTTCTAATAAAAACAACCTTTTGATATTCATCTCTGATAAAAACCAGAGAGTGTCCTAGTGACTAAGATTGATGTTCCATTGCAAATGACTAAATTAATGTTTCACAGTTCTTCTTAAACATAACATCTCATAGATCATATTGATGTACTGTATTTCACACATCTCAGACATACAAATTATTACACAAGTCAAATGATAATACAATGAATGTGCTTCAAAAAATAATGATTAATACAGAAACACTTCTACTGCTACTAATTCCCACTAAATTGGATTACCAGCCAAAAAATAAGATCAAATACTGCACCATTAAAGAACTGTATAATTTATACCTACTTTAATATCAATATCTACATCTCTATATTTATGTTTTTTAGTTTCTTTTGCAGACTACAATGGGAGTGTTAAATTCATGGGTGTATAGTAAAGTGGGATGGTAGCTGATTGGAAAATCATTACCAATAAGTGCTGAAAAATCAATCCTCCAAAGGGAGCCGTTCATTATGTCCAGAATGAGCAGTGTCTGGATATCAGTGTGTCATTACATTACAGAAACATCTGGAGAATTCTGTCTAAAATGGGGCATGCTATTTTAATGGAGCATCATATTGACCAAGTGGGTGCAACCAGAAAAACAAAAAGGCTAAAATTATCAAGTTAAAGATTGGTAAAACAATTTAAGGGAGAGACTCTGGAAAAGAAGATATAAGGTGCAGGAAGCGGATGTGGTGCCATGAAAGCTGTTTTCAGTATCATTTAAGGGCTGCCACATGGCAGAATCATCTTCAGTATCGTGAAATGATATGTATAATACTGCTTTTAAACTAACCATTAAGCACTACACAAATGCTAGTAGTCGTTACTGTTATCATACACAAAACTTTATTAATAGCAACTGTAAACATGAGCAAGAAATTTGAGGAAGAAAATAAAAAGCTCAATATAAGGACCCTAATAACTAGAGTTGATCATGAGGGTGGGATGCAGTGAAAGTGAGTGATCGAAGGTTCAGGACCATCTCTCAAAAGGGTTATAAAATTGGATTATATTCCACCACATTTAAGGTCTAAAAGGTCTATGGTTATAGAATTGGGTTGTGTGCTGAAATAGGTACATAGAAGATCTAAAGGGGCTAAGGTTGCAGAATATGCAAACACTGTCTGCATGCCAGGCACGTGAGGTCTCTAAGGTCTAATTTCAAAGTTTCTAAGGAGGACAATTCTGCCAGAGCATAATTGGTAGCAACAACAGCAGAAATAGTAATAATAATAATAATAGTAATAATAGTGATAATGACAGTGAACATTCCTTCACAGCACAATGAACCAGGTGTTATTCTAGGCACTTTACGTACATTAACTTATTTAAGCTTCACAACAAGTAGGTATGTTATTATCTCCATTTTACAAATGAGGAAACCTCAGAGAACTTAAGTAATCTACTCAAGTTTATATGTCATGAAAGTAAAAGCAAAAATTTAATGATTGCACACAGTTGTGATATAATAGTTCTGGCTTTTTGTTAGCACTGTGTAATTACTTTCATATTATCTTCTCATCTTCATTAATACTTTCATTTCTGTTTTGCTTTATTCTAACACATTAATTTTTTCCTTATACAGTATGAAATATTAAAGTATAAATTCATCTTCAGTTAAAACTTCAAAGGTAGAGAAACAGTTAATATTCTTCAAGCAATTACATACTAATTTCCTGGCAAAAATAATTTCAGTAGAGATGGGTTGTAACTAGATGTCCTATGGTTTCAAAGCTTAATTTGGCGATAAGGATTATCAACCATCTCGGCTGATGAACGGAACTCAAGAGACTGCTAAATAATTTAAATGTCAAGTTTTATGCAGATGGGGCCTGCAGCTTTCATATAATTCTCAAAGGAATTTGAGGGCTAAAATAGGTTAAAATTTGCTGATTTACTTGTTTATTCCCTCTTTCTTCAGGAAAATTAACATATTTAGCTATGTTTGGTCCCCAAATCCTTAGTTTATTATGATGATCTCCAGATTATACGGTAAAAAAGGGATGTGAGTATACTTGACAATCATCTAAATAATGTTACTTTCATTATTTTAGCATTCATGAATATCTAAGCTTTAACTTCTGGAAAGCCTTGTTAAAAATACAAATAGTTTATCTCAAATTGATAAGCCTTTCAAAGACTGAAAGCAGAATCGCATTTTAATTCCAAAATAATTTTATCATAGTTTTCTTACCAGTTAATGTCTCCTTTGCATCATCTTCCTTTGATTCTTCTCTAGACTCATCAGTTTCTGTGCTATCATAATCGAATGACTGATTAACTGGTTCAGAGGAGTGCACTGGCTGCTCATCCATAACTTTAAGCAGTAAGAAGAGAAATTTGTTTGGACAAGTGAAAATAAAAACCCACAAATATTAAAATATGCTTAAGAAAGGAAAATTGAAATATACACCCCCCAAAATTTCATATTCATGAATAAACAATCAACTTGGAGTCATCTGATGTCTGAGATTATAAAAGGAAATATTTAAAATTATCAAAATTGTATTTTTAGCAGAAGAGAAAAATAAAATAGAAGAATTTTAGAGAATGAAATACAAGTCCAATTATAAGCTGTAAAAGGTTTTTGGATATTAATTATTTATATTAAAGTTAACTTTTAGTCTACTACTAAAATTCTCGAAGTACAGACATTATAATAATATAAAAAATTAAAATATAGATGGAAATTTTATGAACTCTTAAAAAAACAACAAACATTTAGGAAATGAATGTTAAGAAAATATGTTCAAAGTAGTTTAGAGGTTTGATTTTGTTTAAGACTTAGATTCCCATTTAGTAAAAAAAGATTTTAATTTTGGAAATATTATTTCAAGATAAGCTTCCATTTTATTTTTATGCTTCCAGTGTACTTTATCTCTGAGATTTGTTTAAGGGTGTCCCGTCTGACCAATAAGAAAATTTCACTGTGCTTGCCCTGCAAACAGGAGAGCTGCTAAATTCTTCAGAAGCTGATTTTGTTACTGTTTACCTTTCGCGGCTTCTTCAATGACTTGCCTCACTGCTTTCTTTAAACTGTTTGCCCGCAGCATTATTTCCCTCGGTTTGACGGCTTTCTGGGAGGAAGGCTTCGCAGTGTCATCCAAGAGTTGTTCCTTGCTTTCACACAAGGATTCTTCGCTGGAAGATTCCACGGGATCTTCCTCCACGATGAGAGAGCCGATGCCTGGGAGAGCCGGAGCAGCCTGGGAATCTGTGTGCAAAGCCTGGAGCAGTTGTTCAAGCTTCTCATTGAGGACCGAACACTACGGAAAAACAAAAACACAGGAATCAATCTTCGTTTAGTGGAGGTGGAAGACAATAACTTAATGGTTTTCGATTTTAGAGGAAAGATGCTACACTGATGTTTACCACAGATTGGCTATCTACTATAAATTGTACTTTAGACAGCTTGTGGACTAAATAATTCATAATTTTTTTAAATAGCACAATTAAGCTCTAAATTTACTGGTTTATACTTCCAGTATTCAAACACCATTTCATGGGTGAACATCTTTACAACTTTCCTAAACCTATTTTTTCTTAAAACAGAATAGCAAAAGCTTCACCATAAAGTGACACATTACATAAACAATTTATTCATTATACAAAATTTGCTATACATTATACAAAACATTGCATAAACTTTTGTTTAACGTAATCAACTTACGGCACCGTTTTGAGCACAAACTGCCAAGTCCGGCCAAGTCTTGTAAGCTCATCTTCAAAGCTTTGGTTTACAAAGGAGTGAACAGCTCTTAAGGGATTACTGGCTCAAAGAAGGAGCAAAAGGAATATGCACAGGATAAAGAAGAATGATGCAGAAAGACAAACAGGTACTCAGCCCTTGTTTCTTTCTGTTTTTCTTGGACTGTTAAGGGTAAAGAAACACTTAGGACTGAAACTGTTAATGCTACTGTCTAAAATACCTTTTATCTCCACACAATTTCCAGTCCTTTCCGCCTCCTTTTATTTGTCTGATGGCTGCCACGACAAAGTTACAGCAGAAATAGTTAAGAGAAATAAAAAACGTGACTACAAAGGGTTTTTCTTTTCTGAAGCTCTCCACATAGTAGAAAAACAAGAGAAAGAGACGGAAAACTTCCAATGTATATTTGTTTGTTTGTTTGTTTGGAGGGGGGGTAACTAGGTTTATTTATTTCGTAGTGGAGGTACTGGGGACTGAACCCAGGACCTCATGCATGCTACGCACTCTACCACTGAGCTATACCCTCCCCACCCCCTGCCCCCAATGTATATTTCTATTTTCTTTTCCTTCCACTCAAAGCCACCATCTATAGCATGAACTGGGGGAGATCTTTCCTTTGCAAAGCCCAAGAGAGCCACACCTTTTGTTAGAATGTCCTGTCCTGAACAAATGAAAGCAAAGACAGTAGCTTTAAGGTTCAGTAAACTGTTCTTATTTTAGACTCCAAAAGATCACAGAGGGAAAAAAAAATCTATAAAGAAAAAGGCAAAACGAGAAACAGAACCCTGAAAGAGGCTGAGGACCATAATGTCTGGGGAATCCGAGCAATAATTCTGGGAGGGAACCTGAGTGGCCAAGGTCCGTCTGGAAATGGAAAACCATTCGTCTCCCTTGGAACACCAGGCACCCAGCACTTCCCCCACGTGACTCGATGCTGGTGCATTTCTCCTTCAAAATGTCAATCGGTGGGAAAAAGGAGTTATCAAATTCAGATCATTGGTCTTCAGCAACGCAGTTTTCCTACATATTAAAGGGGTTAACCATAAAATAGAATGTTTTAAACCCTTATATCTAGTTCAGAAGTAATTTTTCTCTTGGTTTACAATGTTTTGGCAGGAAAGCCAATTAACCAACTTCGCTGTAAAACACAGTTCAACGTTAACATTTTCAGTAAAAAAAAAATTCATGCCCTGAACGTGTCCCGCTTACTTTACTGGCCACGGCATCTGCTACAACAGCTTTTTCCAACGTTTTTTCATGTGCCTTCTCTACCTTGGCAACGAAGTCCTTTACAGTTTCACAAAGTATCCTTTGAGGAAGAGAAATTGTGCAATTCAGGAAACTCAGCAGGTTGATATGCTTTGATTTACAAACATATTTAAAAATAAGCACAATGAAGTAAACTGTTAAAAGACTGGGATCATTGGTTTATAAACCCGAACTTCTCTCCACTGGGTAACACATCTTAGATAAGCTCACACATTCTAAGTGATACATGGACACGTGAATAAACCTTGTTCTACATAATTTAAATAAGTTGTTTTAAGCTTACAACAAGTCTTTCTCAAATATTTAAATTTTAAAAATTTCTGAGACGAGTAGTTTTCGATCTTATTAAAAAATAAAGCATTATCTCCTGCACCTTACATATTCTTATAACAAAACTTGCAGTGTTGAACAAATAGGAATAAATTTGTCACTAATGGTGTCACTGTCGCCTTACTATTCATGATATGGGTATCTTGGAAGCACGTTGTTCTTGAAGAGGAAAGAGGTTGTGTATTATGCTGGAAACCAACGTGCCAGTTGAACTGAGTTATATTCTCTATAAATCCATTCATTTATTCCCTTAAGATAACCAATGCAATAACATGCAGACTAATTGAATTTAGGTTTTGTTAGTGTCACTAATAAATGGTTTAGCTGTTTGTTTCTTTTAATTACATTTGGTTTCTTTGCAATAGAAATAGACTAAAAGAAAAAAAATCATCTGAAACACTAACAAAATTTGTCAAAAGTCTTTAGAACTGGTATCGGATTAAAAACTACAGCCAAAGGAATGGTATATGACCAGCTTTTTGTAGCAAGCACTGATAGTGAGTTTTAAAACAAAATCAGACTATTTTAGAATAATATTTCTCTTTAACATTGATAGAGGTTGAGGAATTTTAAGGGAAAAAAAAGTTTCCAGAAATTACTTTTTCTATTATACTCACAATTTTCTGTGGTATGTGACTGACAAAAAGGTTACGTTTCCAGATACTTACGTATTATGAAATTGAGCCATTCAATAAACACAGGACACATACACACATACACACACAAACACACACACACTCTCTGAACCTTCACATTCATCATCTAAGAGAGAATTGAATTACTCCTAAAAATTCTTGTTTTGTTTGTTGTGTTTTGGCAACCATTTGTAGATTTCACTTGGACAAAAGGTACTATTTCCTGATCTTCAGTCTTTTTGGCTGGCCTTTTAAACTCAAATTCTTATAGACTCTAGCTTACCATTTACCAGATTCATCCACGTGGAAGTTCCGTCTTCTTTGTTCATGTATAATACTTTTATGGAATTTCTCAAACTATGAAGGCAGGCTATCATGAACTTTCTTCAATGGACTTCACTGAGTTTCCCTAAGATGTCCCACCTCTAGGAAGAGGAGACAGTGGCTTTCCCTCATGTTTATGGAACTCCAAAATAGAGGTCTTATTATTACAACACTGTCTCGAGAAAATTTTCTCTTGGATTTGTAAAACCGCATATGCCATGACATTATCAGAGCCACTGCTGCTGGTATTTCATTAACTCCTAGAGACAGAACCAGTGGGTCCACCAGCCTAGGAATGAGAGGGGCAGAAGAAGAGCTTCCCCAGTTGCGCCACATTGCTAGGCAGACAGAGGCTGCAGGAGAGAGCGCGATCCTGTGTTAGGAGAAATGCTTGCCACATAAGTTGGGGGAATTTCATGGTCCATTAAGTTCCACATTCCAGAAGACAGAGGATATTTATATTCTGGAGGAATGAATTAACTTCCTGTTACACCTAAATTGAGAATGTAGGGTTTTTAAAGTAGAAATCAAATGCATACTTCAAAAGGGTATGATTTCAAAGTCACACCAACTGAGAATTTGCAAATTGGGGAAAAACAAAAATTTTTTTGGTCTTTTTTTTGGTTTTTGGGGGGGCCATGGGGGAGGTCATTAAGTTAATTTATTTATTCTATTTTTAAAATGTATTTACTTCTAGAGGAGGTACTGGGGATTGAACCCAGGACCTCGTGCATGCTGAGCATTCTCTCTACCACCTAGCTATATCCTCACCCAGGGAAAAACAATTTTAAGATGCATTTACTATAGTAACACAAAAGACATTTTCCAGCTGATACAGTTTTCCCCTTTAATACATAAACACTTCCAGAAAACACGTGCAAAAAATCAAATAAATGAAAGTAGAACATGGGTCTTCCCACAGAGCTAAAAATATTTTAAATTCCTAATTACACCTTTAATTAATGTTAGTCATAATTTGGATGAGATTTTTCCAGCATTGTTCAGTTCATTGTTTTGTTCTCTCCCTTCCAAGCTGAACACAATTAAATGTGGGCACCAGATATTCAGTTGACGCTAACAACTGTCCCTAGGTAGCATGTTGGGTGATTTCCACCGTCACCTCAATTATGTTACATTTATGAGATCTACACATCGCCAGTAGCAGTACCTTCATTTATCAGTTTTCCACTAATTTTTTTAAATAGGGGTAAATGACAAGAAAACACGCAAGGCTACACTAAGAAAAACGGGCAATGGTGCCCAAAAAGAACCACATATTGGTAGGCAGGGATCATACTATGTGAAAAATTTTTTTCATCCAATACAAACAAGTTCCAATCAGAAATTAAAGGTGCCTCACAAGTATCAATACATAATATATTAAAACCCCTAGCTACTATGTGCTCTGAGGAAAGATTCTAACATAGCCTACCTCATTTTTCAGTGAGGGGGTTGGCCTAATTATCTCTAAGATAGATTCTAAATCTATAAATTCTATGGTTATAGGACAATGGTTCCAATCTTACTATTTTTTCCTGCTAATGATCCCATTTTCTGAGAATTTTTGTCTACAGCATAAACTGCATTGGCTTAACTTGTCTTTTTATTTTTATTAATAAATGACGTCTATACTAATTAGTGCTTCTGAATCTTGGAAAATAACTCATGTGACCGTCCCAAACTGACAACATTCCCAAGTCAAAGAAATGTTGGCTTTATGTTGATTGCCTACATTTTTTAACCTACAAATTAGCTGTGCTGATGAAATACAGCTTTTCCATCAGCATTTTCAACATTTTAAAGAAGTTAAAAATAGCTTAGGCTACTGAGAATTACTATTTTATGAAATAAATATAAACATGCATAAGAGGTTTAGTTAAAATGTTCTGCCTTAATACTGTCCCATTCAACAAGTAAATGGCATTAACCAAAGAAGGGAGTTCTTTATTTTTACCTAGGTGGTGGTTAAAAGAACGTGTACGTGAATATGTGTGTGTATTATTTTTTTCTAATCACTAAGTTGTACCTTTATCATTTGAGCACTTTACTGTGTGTATGTCAAGCCTCCATAACACATTGTTTTTTAAACCAGGGAGAACTAGTATAGATTTTGTAAATCTTACGGACATAAAACCCAAGTGCAAGATGTGAACCCTGTTTGGATTTTGATTTGAACGAATCAACTGCTTGAAGAAAAAAAACACGTCAAAAAAATTAGGGGAAATTGAATATGGACTGAGTAATTATTATTAACTTTATTAGACTTAAAAAAGATGATTGGCTATACATATTGAAAGTGGAATAAAATGATTTCTGGGATTTGTTTAGAGATACTCTAGCAAGAGAAAGTGGGGAGCAGATGACAACATGTTGATAAGTCCTGAAGCTGAGTGATGAGTGTGGTGGGAAATCATTATAACTGGTGTCTCTACTTTTTTGTATGTTTGAAAAAAGTCCATAACAAAAATTAATGTAAAAATATACTATATCACTGGGACAAAGTTACCACATATTGTCCCCCTCTTTCTTCTCTTGAAACTCTTTATGGCAAAACTTCTAGAATTTTAATCTGGGGTTGTAAAGGTAGGGTGGTCGGATGAGTAACAAGAGGGGACCAAGGTTGGAAGAGAATCTGCTTAAAGGCAAATGAGCCTGTCAGGGAGAAATCAGAAGCCAAGGCTAGGAGGAGCGCCTCAGTGAGGAGCCAGGCCAACGTCTAAGAAAATATTTGAAATGCAATTGGGAAAACACGAAGTGATGCTATCACAACGTAATACAGCACTCTGTAGTTTATAGGATCTATATTTATTTCATTACGCAACTTAATTCTAACAGTTCCACGAGGGAGGAAGGATAGGCATTCTTTCCATTCTTATCCTTGATAAAACAGACACAGATCACAAAGCCAGAAAAATGGCTGAATCTCATTTAGGACCTGAGACTTACAACACTGTGACTTACTTCAGTGGCTTTAGAGCTGTTTTTCAGAAACACTTCAAGGATTCCATAAATGCCTGATGCAAAATTCATTTAGAAATAGAGAATAGAATTTTAAAATGCTCTTAAATCTTTAGAGATATTAGAGAAAAACAATATAAATATATTAGCTTTCACGTTAGAATTCATTATTTTTGTGCAAATCTTACACTATATTCAATGTAGTTTCCAGTTATTTGTGTTTTATTTTGGATACATGGTTGCAAGGAAATTATCTTCAATTAAATAAAAATGGCATCCTTACAACCATGACAAAATATAATATAGAAATAATTAAAATACAGAAATAATTGGAAACTGCATCAAATATAAAACTATAACTGTCACCTATAACCTTATTGCTTATTTTTCCTCATAAATAACTAATAATTGAATCCTATCCAATTTATTAATGCCAACAAAATAGAATTTGTTTATTTTTGATATTGGGATTCTGCATAAAATTTTATTCCAAAAAAGACAATGTTATAAATCAATTATAATCTTAGTTAAAAAATAAAAGGAAAAAATATACAAAATGTAAGAGGCAGTAATCAAACACATTAAACACACCAAGGCCAATATTAAGGCTTTGCTAACATTTGAACCAAGAAAGGTAGTCAGATAAAATATTTACTTAAGAATCATTCTGTAATTTGTTATTCTTTTAAAAGGTTCCATTTCGACTTTCTGTCTCTTCTAGCAATGTCCTCTAAAATGTCCTATAAAAAAGAATTTTGACTCCTGGGGCAGGGACAGCAAATGTAAATGTCTTCCTCGTAGAAGCAGCTTAGGTACCTAAGGAAGTACATGAATTCAGCCCAAGATGAGAAAGACAACAGGGAATGCTAAAGCCTGGGACAAACTGGAGATTTGTACATTTCCCCATAAAGCAGTTACCACTAAGAAAGAAATACTCAACCGTGGCATCAAGCAAAAAACCCGCCCACAGTACTGCCAACAAACAAAGAGCGTCTGGAGCCCATCAGTCTGGGCAACAATGTGCTTCCCTTGTCTTACGCTGTTCAACTCTCTTCCTATTGCCCAGTCCTGCCTCCTGTTCCTGGGGGTTATGGCATGGCAAACAACAGTCACTACGTTTGCACTTTTTTCACAAGCAAATTGGTTTATAATGATTTCTCTTGTCTTCCCAGGACTTCTTTGGAAATTAAGTGTATAACATACTGAAGTTTGTGTATTTTCTCCTCCACTACTTCCCCACTCCCTTTCTTTTCTTCTTGTCTCTCTCCTCTTTCTATATATCAGTAATATTTGCTTGCTAAGCCAGAATCCTAGACCACACTCTTACTTTTGCTTATCAGTTGAAAATTTTAGTGAGTTTCTCTTCCATACTTGACATTTCAGTTCTCATGACAGCAGGATAGGATGCTTCAGGACTAAACGCTAAGTTCCAGCCAGGCAACATTTGGGATAATAAAATCAAGTAGCTTTGGCTCCATGTATGGGATCATGATAACTTTGAATCTGATAACTTTGAATTAAAATATAATTACATAATTTAAATATGCTGAGAAATGCCATTTTGAAAACTCCCATCATTTCCCTTTTCCTGATGGAAAGAGTTCCTAGATAGTAGTGTTTACAGAAATAATGAATTATAGTAAAATGTGTTTTTTATATTATAATTAATCAGAAGTGTTTCTTTAAAATAGGAACTAGATTAATTAAACTCTCAACATTTAATTACACCTTTTTGACAAAAAGGTTTCAAATTTAGCTTCAAGAAATACTCTCTAAATATACTCAACTGCAGATAAGATGCTAAAGTGACTTTTTAAAAACCAGTGCAAATTTAGTAAAACTAATTCTACAACCTACTTTGCAGAGATTTGGGGGCAAAATCACAAAGAAGTGACACAAGTGGTAGGAAGCAGCATTCCTTTCATTGTCACCATATAACTACTTCATGGCTTAAGTTCCAAAACTCACTTGGCAGATGATATGACCACTGCATGTTCATCAGAATTGAGGATTTTTGTAAGATGAGCTGCGACCGAGTCTTCATAAATTGTCATCTGAAAAAATAAAAAACCTACACTGTATTATTGTTGCTGGCATTTATACAACTCAGTTATTTTTGCCTCGAAAATGGGACTATTTATAGCATGTGATACAGGGCAATGGCTATAATGAAATATAAATGGCTCTAATGAAATACATAATATATATGAAAGAGTCATTCTACAAAATAGATAAATATTTCCTTTCTAGGAAAGGATCTTAGTTTCTGGAATTCTTATTTCAGAGTCTCAGAAAAATTCACAAACTCCATTAAAAATTTTGTTAATGTCAAATAGCTGAAAATATAGAAAAAAAAATACTCCTGTAATATAGGTTAGTACAAAAAACAAAAGCCAGACAACCTAATAAAAATGGGCAAAAGACTAGAAATTTAAAGAGGAAGATATACACATGGTCCATAAGCAGATGAAACGGTGACCAACCTCATCAGCCATCAGGCAAACAGAAACTAAAACAGTACCACTACGTCCCTGCAGAACAGCTAACACGAAAACAACAATGATGGCTAGAATATGCCAAGTGCTGGCAAGGCTGTGGAGACACAGGCTTCTCATACACTGCTGGTGGGGGTGCAAATTGATACAACACTCCAGAAAGCTGTTGGGTGGTCTCTATTAAAGCTGAATGTATGCATAATAGTGTAGGACTCAGCAATTCTACATCTATACCCAAAAGAAGGGCAGAGTGCCTGCACCGCCAGACAGGAACTAGAATGTTCATAGCAGCATCCAATCAATAGTAGAATGGATAACAAACTGTAATATACTCATGCAACGGAATTCTATAGGGCAATGAGAATGCATGACGTGTCACTATGGATCTCATAGACATAATATTTAGGGAAAGAATTCAGAGACAAAGAAGTGTATACATACAAAATGATTCTATTTTATAAAATACAAAAACAGACAAAATTAATCTATGCTGTTAGAAGCCAGGCTAGTGGTTACTGGGGTGGGAGGTGGGGGTGGTGAATGAAAAGGGGGTTTGAGGGTACTGGTAATGCTGCCTTGTGTCTGGGTATTGATTACATGGGTTCATTTAGTTTGTGGAAATTTATCAAACTGTATGTTTATGATA